CATATTGACCAGACATGTCCCTAGAACCACTGTTGTAAGGATCCAGACAGCTTTGGGGTACTTTATAGACATAGAAAATTATTTTTATGAGGGGATTCTTTCTACAGTGTTTGCCTTTAGCTTTTGTGCCTACCTGATTACCCATAGTTTTCTGGTTTTACAAATTTAAAAAAGCATTATATGATATTTCTTGAAAGACACATTAAAATTCCTCACCTCATCTACCCTCAAATATGCTATAAGAATTCTTCATGTGAGTTACAACTTGACTGCAAACCAATTTCTGCAACTCTTCAATTCATACCTTATATTTTTTTAAAAATTAGAGGTTCATGTTTGAAGCCATCATTTACTTATTTGTTCCCTGACCACGATGTGTCACGTGTCACGTGTCGCACAGAGCAGCCACACGGGTCTCCACCCTAACTGGCTGTTGTGCAGTGAGAGGAGAGGCCAAAAACCACCCAGATGCTCACTTGAATTACTGATACTGAGCTAGCTGGCCCAGGGAATCTCTTCTGTCAGCTGAAAGGCTGAGCTGAGACCAACCTTCAACTTCCCATCAAACCACAGGTTTCCTTCTCCCCTGCCAAAGAAATCACAACTTCCCGTGGGCTGAAGGTCCCTAGATGCTCACAGCAGGTGTTCTCAGACAACTCTTACAAGTGTCTATGCCCAAATCCTCTCTTCTTGGCACCAGAGTAATCTGAATATCTCTATTGACAAGGCCATCTTCTCACATGTGCATTATAAAAGGGGGATCAATAAGGAGATGAGGTCCCAGGCCTGGATTGTAGACACTTGATGCCTGTCCAGGCTCAGACTCACTCCTCCATGGGAGGTGGGTGGCACCTGTGCCTTTCCTTCTGGGGTTGACTCATGGCCTTAGAAGTTTTCCCTTCTCCAGTAAATCTTGAACTCATGCACTGAGATGTTTTAGGATTTTCCCTGACTCTCATCCATTTGTTACACACTTACTTCCACCTTCTCTGGAGGAAGACTGTCCTCCTCTGTGAGTACCACACCCAAGCTGGGCCCACACAGTGAGCTGTGGCTATTGATGCATAACGAATCTCAAGTACTACTTTTGTGTGGTATTGTAGAGAGGACAAAATACACAGCCTTTCCTTCCCTTCCCTAAATCAATCAGTCAGTCCGTCTATCTATCTATCTATCTATCTATCTATCTATCTATCTATCTATCTATCTATCTATCTATCATCTATCTATATCTATCATCTGTCTGTCTGTCTCTCTCATCTATTTGTCTAGTCTTATCAAGAAATAGTATACCATAGTTGTTTAGAGCACAGATTCCAGGTTTGAATTTAAATGCCATCTCTGCCTTGTAACAATTATGTGACATAGACATGTTATTTGACATCTTTACACCTTACTTGCTATATATATCTGCAAAATGAAAATAATAATGGTATTTAATCCTATAGGATTTTTATATATTTGTTTTTTGATTTTTATAATGATTATTTTTTAAATGCATAGAACAATGCTTGGCACTTGCTAGTGTAGTGTTAATATCTATTAAATAAAGTAAAATTTTATAACTACACATATTGTTTAGTATGATATAAATATAACAGTATTTAATACAGATGTGTCAATACACATGAATTTATAAATTAAATAAGCTTGAGACTCTTTGAGAATGACATCAGCTCCCTGCTGGTGCAAGTTCAGCAGCAGCCTTATATTTTCCTCTATAGTAATGCACAAATATAAGTCTTCCCCATTCTTCCAATGTAGGAATGTTAATTCTTCCTCTTGCTGCAAAAGAAAACTCCTACCTCTTTCTTTCTGCCTGATTTGCTTTTCCTTAGGTTCTATTCTTGGATAATTTGCATACATATTTCTTTAAATAGACTATTTTTTAGAGCAGTGCTAGGTTTAAGGCAAAATAGAGCAGAAAATGCAGAGATTTCCCTTACAATCTTTGTCTAATCCCACCCTCACAGTTTCTGCACTATCAACATCCCATGCCTGAGAGGTACATTTATTACAATTGACAAACCTACACTCTGTCACCCAAAGTTCATAGTTTACATTAGGGTTCATTCTTGGTGTTGTACATTCTATGGTTTTGGATAAATGTAGAGTGACATGTATCCACCATATACATGGTATCACACAGAATAGTTTCACTGCCCTAAAAATCCTCTGTGCTCTACCTATTCATCCCTCCTTCCCCTCAACCCCTGGCTACTACTGATCTTTTTAGTGTCTCCATAGTTTAGCTTTTTCTAAAATGTCCCATAGTTGGAATCATAGAGTATGCAACTTTTTAAGATTTGTCTCTTTCTCTTAGTAATAGACATTTAAGTTTCCTCTGGGTTTTTTCATGACCTGATAGCTCATTACCTTTTGGTGCTAAACATTATTCTATTGTCTGGATTTATTTTTTAAAATATAAAGATATTTTAGTGGAAAAAAGCAGCAAAAGTTTACTGGCATACTTTATGTTTTTATTTGTTTTTATAAAATATGATTCTTGAGTATTAGGGTGGAGACCTTTGCTCTACTTCCCATTAGGGTAAAATTAAAACTCTTGGCCATGTCTTAATATGCTCTTTTCTCTATGAACTCTCCAAACTTGTTCCAGCCTTACTGATCTTCTTATTCTTTAAACGCTCCCATCTCACACCCTCCTCAGGGCCTTTGCATGCACTCTTGCCCTTCCTCCAGATCTTAACATGACAAGAGCAAAAGGAAATATTTGTCACATCTTCTGGAATCTAAGCTCAATGAACCAGGGACCACACCTGTTTTCCTTCTGTATTATATCCCGAGCACATAGTAAGATGACTAATGCATAATGAGTGTTAAATATTTATTGATTAAAAAATGTAGTACAATTTAACAGAACTGTAGAGTATATGCATCACGAAGGCCACTATTTATCTATATTCTCAATATGCAGAACAGCACATTTTAGGCGTTCAGTGACATTTGCAAAAAGCATACTACATTCTTTGATTGTTTTTTTTTTTTAATTTGGAAAATCAGAAAACTATGGGTAATAAGGTAGGCACAAAAGCTAAAGGCAAACACTGTAGAAAGAATCCCCTCATAAAAATAATTTTCTATGTCTATAAAGTACCCCAAAGCTGTCTGGATCCTTACAACAGTGGTTCTAGGGACATGTCTGGTCAATATGGGTCCTCTAGTCTGAATCGATTACAGGGCTTCATCCTTAACTGTCTATGACATATGAAACATAACGAGTGCTTATTTGCTAATTATCAGCATTCATTAACTCAAAGATTTTCCTGAAAACTATCTGAAGGATTTAACCTGAGATTCTATTTCCTCAATAAAAATTAAAGGGATTCCTCAGTAATTCATTAAGACAGGTGCAATATCACAAATATTTTTAAACATCATAAGTACCATGAAAGCACTTATATAAAATCAGTTAATGTACATCATTAAATAAGTTTATATTTAATGTTAATGTGCAATGTAGATGAATGTTGTGTCTCCATTGTAAGGCAATTGTGAGGGAGCATTATGATCACTGTCACTCTTATTCAATCGACAGCCCACAGGTTTATACTTTGCAATGTATTTAATGGGGTTTACATAAGCTGTATTATTTGAAATTATGTAACTTTGTGTTTTCAATATTTAGCTCAATCACTTTTTTTATTAGTATAAATGACTGAGGTATCATGTAAGGTTCAGAATTGATTGTCAAAGGTATATAAATAAAACAAATTAAGCTGTGATTTTGGGCAAGTTGCTCAAACTGAAGAGTGGGGTTCTTATCTGAAAATTTAGGTAAGAACAATTACCTCACAATTTGTTGATAAGATTACATGAGATAATATATTTTAATGTATACTGCAGTATATGGCATATAGTGGGTCTAAAAATAATAGTTATTTTATTATACCAATACAAATAATAACATTAATAATTATAATCATAATGTGTCTGTCTTTCTCTGGGTTTCTATTTCTAAGAGCTCCTATTAACCTTCATTTTAACCCCTTTACTTCCTGTTTTACCTCCCTGTTGTTACTGTAGTAACTGGGGTTATCAATATCCTCTGAGTTACCAAGACATCCCTGGGAAACTAATTTTCTTTTTTTGAGAGCATCCTCTGAATATTGGTTATGTAAGACGTGTGTGTTGAGAATGCAAATAGCTGACTAAATAACCCAATGAGCCTTTACTCAGCTATCTACTTCTCAAAGTCTCTATTTTGTTCCAAGAGTGTACAACGGAGCTGATTTCTGGGGAAAATCAACTACTGCCTCTTCAGTTCTAACTCTTCACCAGGATCTGCAATTAACATGTCATATACATGATTTATTTTATCTTAATAGTAACCCTACTAAGCTGATACTATCTACACTTTAAAGAAGACTGAGGCCAATAGAGATTATGTAATTTCTTGTAGGCCACAAAGTTTATAAATTGTCGGTGATACAAGTACATTTTTCTCAAAATTGGTTGCCTTTTACATTATACCCCATGGTGTCTCAGTGCTAAGTCAAGGAAGGAAGTGAACAGGTTTTAGACAATTATCTTCTCTCCCAGGGAATATCGTTCCATCTCCTTCTGTTGATCCCTAAATATAAGAACCAGAGAATTTAAATAAATGTCCTAGGATGAAATACTCCACGTCACATTCTTCTTCTGGTTCCTGAAACCTCCATACATATTTTCAGTGTATCACCAAGTTCAGTGATATTTGGTGATGACCTAGTGAGTGCTGGACACCAAGTAGATGGTCCATGAATTTTTTTTTTCTTTTCTTTTGCATCGAGAACTTTCTTTAAAAGTGTTTGCCCAGAGACAAATGAGAACTTAAGTTATCGGGTTGATTGGCTTTTTCCCTAGGAACTGTCCAATCCTAAAATTCATAGAAGGTTTCCTCATTTTTATTTTCTGAAAAATGAAAACATCAGGTTACTTGGTGGTAGCTGTGCTGATTGCCAATGCTTTTGTTAAATTGTTTCTGTTTTAAGTGTGTAAAGATGACTGTGACAATTCTCAGGAACCCTTGGACTGTAGCTGGAATTGTGATGGTTATTCTCATGGTGCTGAGGACTCCCATGGCTCACTGCAGAGGTGTTCCAAGTAAGTGCTGGAGAGCTAATCTTCAGAGACCCCAGATCTGAGAATTAATTGCTTGGGTGCTCTGGAGCTTAGGGTCAGGTGTGTTGCACTCTGACCAAATCCCAGGGAGAATTTGGAAGGGCTCCTATGACATTCCAGTTTTCTCCTCCTCAGGAAAAAGAATTTTGCTAGATTTCCTTTTTCAAATCCCTGCAGTTGAAGAGAGGGTAATTTCTCTGAGGGAAAAGACTGGGAACTCAGAGTTGGAAGAAAAAGAGAAAGTACATTTCTATACCTAATGCAAGACAAAGTTATCACACTATTATTGATTATATTCCCCTTCATCTTTTCTTACCCATCCCTCCATCCCCCTCCCCTCTGGTAGCCAGCAGCTCTTTGTTTCTATGAGTCTCTCTCTTAAAAAGAAAAAAAATATATATATAAAATTTATTTATTTTTAAAATTAATTAATTAATTATTTTAATTGAAGAAATGATTAAAATCTTTCCCCCCCATTTACCTCCCCGCTCCTCCTTCACCCACTGCCCTCTGGTAACCACTAGTCTATAGTCTATGTCCATGAGTTTCTGTTTGTTTGTCCTGTTCATTTGTTGCTTTTAGGTTTATAGCTCATATATAAGTGATGTCATGTGATTTTCAACTTTTTCTGTCTTATTTCGCTCAGTATGATTATTTCAAGGTTCGTCCATGTTGTTGCAAATAGCAGTATTTCATCTCTTCTTATGGCTGAGTAATATTCCATTGTATATAAGTACCACAGCTTCTTTAGCCAATAATCTATTGTAGGACACTTCAGTTGCTTCCATGTCCTGGCCACCGTGAATAATGCTGCTATTATCATCAGTGTTTAAATGTTTTTTGAATATGAATTTTCAAGTCTTTGGGGTAAATACCCAGTAGAGGGATTGCTGGATCATGTGGTAGATCAATTCTTAGTGTTTTGAGGAAACTCCACGGTTTTCCATAGCGGCTGTACCAATTTGCAGTTCCACCAGCAGTGTACGAGGGTTCCTATTTCTCTACATCCTCTCCAGCATTTGTTATTACTTGTCCTGTTGATTATAGCTATTCTAACAGGTGTGAGATGGTATCTCATTGTGGTTTTGATTTTCTTTTTCTTTTTTTTAATTAAAAATTTTTACATATAAGTGAAATTATGTGGTATTCATCTTTCTCCGTCTGACTTATTTCACTTATAATAATGTCTAGGTTCATTTGTGTTGTCATAAATGGCAGTAACTTTGCACAGTGACAGATGGTTACCAAACTTAGTGTGGTGTTCACATCACACTAAGATATATAAACGTCAAATTAATGTGCTGTATTCCTGAAACTAATATAATATTATATGCCAACTATATTTTAATATACAAACAAACAAACAAACAAACAAAAGGGAAAATGCATATGAGACCACTCGAGAAGCATTAAGAAACCTCGGAGAGTGAGTTAAAAAGATTTGCCACCCTAGGAACTTTCTGGTCCAAGCGGTGTTCATGTACTATCGAACTCAGGGTTTAAAGAATTCAAGACAGCTGTAGTCTCTGTAGCTTCACTATCTGAGGAGCACAATTCTCCATTCCTGCAGTGTAAGCAGTGGTTCACTGAGATAACATTGTGATGTCTAAGATGAGAACCCTCATAGGATGAAGACAGGTAATGACTGCCATTAATTTTGTATTTATGTACAAACTTGAATCGGTATTGATGGTGAACAGGGCTATGAGAAGGATGAAAAAACAAGGAAATCAATTTTGTTTTGTACCCACTAATTTCCAAATTCTGTAGTAATATCTTTACACAAACACTTCAACTTAATCTTTCTAAAACACACATACACATGCACCTTGATGACTTTAGGGTATTATTAGTCCACATTTTTTTTACATTAGTTATATTGAAATATAGGTATTAGATTAAGCATATGTATAAAATTTAACAAAAGTTATAAAAAATATCCAAATAATTAATAACCCAGTTAAAAATGACTATATATTACCAGAACCCTAAAAGACTCCCACGTGCCTCTTTCTAATTACACCCACTTTTACTTCTCAGAAGCAGCATTATTATGACTCTCTTAATGTTAATGTTATTGCTTTTTGTCAGGGGTTTAACATATATGAATGTATCCTTAAACAATGTAGATTATTATTTCCTCCTTTAAATGTTCTATAAGTGTTGCATCATCTTGCTTTTGTTCAATATTACATTTGAGAAGATCTGTCATAAATATTTCATGTTGTCCATCCATTTTCATTGTTGTTTAGTAGATTCTATTTTATGAGGGTGCAACAATGTACTTACCCATTCCAAGGTGGATGCACTTTTGGGTTGCTTCCATTTTTTTTTTCATATATCTCGGAGCATATTAGCCTGCATTTTTTAAAACTATATACTTAAGTTGGAATTGGTGAGTCAAAAGGGTATGCATTTCTTCAGCTTTACAACAGAATATCTGACCGTTATTCAAATTGTTCGTGTCTATGTGCACTCCCACAAGCGATTTATAAGTGAACCCAATTCTTGGCAGCTTTTGGCATTTAAGACTTACTTCTGTTTCCCTATCTTATGAGTACGTAGTGGCATTTCACCATATTTTTAACTTGCATTTCTCTGATTACTAATGAGGATGAGCAATTCTGCATGTTTATTGTCCACTGGTATTTACTCTTTATTGAAATATCTCTTTAGATATTTTCTTCTTTTTTCTGTATCTTTTTAAAATATCTTTTAAGGTACAAAAATATATTGTGAATCAAGCCTATTGTGAGTATGTGTTTTGCAGATAGTTGTTTGTACTTTGTGGTTTGTTTTTTTAACTTCCTTAATGATATTTTTTTGATGGACAGAAGTTGTTTATTTTAATGAAGTTGACTTTATCAATCTTTTCTCTTTATAGTTAGTGTTTTTAATAATTTGTTTAAGAAATCCTTTACAATGCCAAAGTCATGAAGTTGTTTCTTATTTTATCTTTTAATGTATTTGTATTATTGCATTTCATATTCAGGTCTTTAATTCATCTAGGTTTAGTTTGTATATGGTGTGAAACATACGTCCAACTTTCTCTCTTCTCCCCTACAGTTACTTACTTACTAGAACACCACTTATTAACAAAAGCATTGTTTCCCCAGTGATCTACAGTGCTACCTTAGTCATAAATTTAGTGTAAATATATGCATGAAACTTATTTTGGGATATATCATGCTATCTATTTTCCTATGTCTGGGCTAATAACTCAGTATATAATTACCACAGTTTCATTTAGTATCTTGATATTTAGCAGAACAAAATTTTTCATGATATTTATTTCCACAAGAGTAGTTTGGTTAATCTTTGCTCTTTGTACTTCTATTAAATTTTAGAATCAGCTTTTAAAGTTTTAAATAATAAAAAAACTGAAGGAATTTTAATTGACATGAATAAAATCTATAAATTCACTTGAGATAAATATCATCTTTATAAGACTGAGTCTTCCAATCCATGCACAAAATGTATCCTTTTATTTATTTAGGAATCTTTTAATATTTCTTATAAAATTTTATTGTTTTCCTTTAAGAAATCTTGTGTCTCTTTTGTAGGCCTTATTTCTAGATAATAATATTTTTTATGCTGTAATAATCAGCGTAATTAAATATATATTGAAAAAGTTTTCCTGGTCTACATAATGTTTTAAAATGAGTCTTGTATCCAGCTATTTGCTAAACTATTGCTTTAAATTCATTTGACAGTAGATTATTTTGAATTTTCGTTAGTCACAGGTTTATTGTATGCAAATACTGACAGTTTAGTCTTTTTTTCCCCACCATTTATTTGTTTTATTCTTACTGTATTTTTTTTTTTTTACCTTTTTAAAATTAAATTTCTTGGGTAACATTGGTTAATATAATTATATAATTTTCAGGTGTACATTATAATTTGACATCTGCATATTCTATTGTGTGTTTACCACCTAAAGTCCAGTTTCCTTCAGCTACCATATATTTATTACCAATCGTTCATTGTTCCATTATTTTTCTTGCTTTACATTCGATTTTCTTTAATAAATGTTCAATGCAGGATTTTCTGCACAGAAGTCATCTAAATTCTTCCTGGGGATAAAATTATGAGGGTTGAGAGTAGGTTTCATTTAGTCACTTGGCTGTACTGGTATTTTCTTTCTCTTTCCCACACCTCCCCACACTAATTGGTTGATTGAGATGCAAGGCTGAACTAAATATAATGCAGATGGGCTCTCCCGCAGAGGATTTCGTGTACCAGTTTAAGGGCATGTGCTACTTCACCAATGGCACAGAGCGTGTGCGGCTTGTGGCCAGACAAATCTACAACAAGGAGGAGATCGTGCGCTTTGACAGTGATGTGGGGATGTTTGTGGCTGTAACCGAGCTGGGGCGGTCGAATGCTCAGAGTTGGAACAGCCAGAAGGACCTCCTGGCACAGTATCGGGCCCAGGTGGACACGCTGTGCAGACACAATTATAAGGAGACCGCTCAGTTCACTGTTCAGCGGAGAGGTGAGTTTAGGATGAGCTCAGAGGCTCTTCACCCAGAACCTAGTGGGGGAGGCCCCATGAAAGAGATCTTTTGTGGTTCCCTAAGATCTTGATGGTACTGGGAAGGGTTTCTAATTCCAAGAGAAAAAATGTTGGAAGGTTTGGCTGCACAGATTTGGGAGGGGGGCGTGCAGGACTGAAAATCTAGAAAGGAGGAACTCTGCATTTGGGACAGCGGATGGCATCCTCAGTGCTCTGAACTTCAGTCCTTCAAAGGTCATAAGGCCCAGCCATAGTTGGCAGGGCCTCTGAGTCTCTCATGTTGCACAGACTCCTATAGCTCCCGCAACACCTAATTCTTGTTTCCTGCCAGGTAGTGTAGAGCTGGTCCCCCAACTGTGTGCACAGCACACTTTGCACATATGTGCATGTGTGTGCATGTATGTATATATATTTATCAGTCCGTGTTACAGATAGTTTTTATGTAAATTATTTTGTTTAATAAAAAAGTAAACACTAAATAAAAGTATTATATTCTTGAAAAGTGGGTTAACAAATTAGCTAATTAAAACCCAGAGGTGAGATTCTAATAAAAGACTCTTTAAAATCTGTTTTCTTTTCTACTTTAGTAACAAAGGTGGGACTTAAGTTCATGGTAAGAATTCGTTTGCTGCCTCATCCTCTAACTTTCTTTGTCTGCTATTCCTCCTAGAGGAGCCTACAGTGACCATCTCCCCAGCCAGGACAGAGTTTCTAAACCACCATAATCTGCTGGTTTGCATGGTGACAAATTTCTATCCTCGTCAAATTAAAGTCAGATGGTTCCGGAATAAACTGGAAGAGAAAGCTGGAGTTGTGTCCACTCCTCTTATTCAGAATGGGGACTGGACCTATCAGATTCTTGTGATGCTAGAAATAGTACCACAGCGAGGCGATGTCTACATCTGCCACGTGGACCACTCCAGCCTCCAGCGCCCCATCACGGTAGAATGGCGTAAGGGACGCTTCACTGATACCATGGACTCAGATAACACAACGGGCAGGGAGGACTCTGCTTCTGGTATGGTGGGGTTCCTCCTTATCTCTGCTGTGTCATGCATATCTCATACCTTCTCTCCTGTGTAACTCTGGTATCATTTCCGGGCTAGGAGTTATGGAAGACTGACTGAGGTAGTATTATCTCAAGTCAAAAGGCTCATGTTGAGTACTGATCTCATTTTCTCCCAAGATATTATGGCAATCCCTTTGTATAACCTGACTCCCCAGGCTACAGTTCAGCCTTGGTAGTGTGTCTTCTGAAATGTTCAAGTTCTGGGCAGTGACACCAAAGCTGGTGTCTTGGGGAAGGTCTGTGGGGTTATAGACAGACATAATTTCTGAGGAGCTGCCATCCTCTTCCCCCGTATCTATCTACGCTGCCCCCTTGGGGTCTATGCATGCCTTGGCCCTCTTCTATTTGCTCCTCTATTTCTTGTATTCTGGATTAGACTCCAGGCTTCCAGATGAGAACACTGTGGGCTATGGGGATGGATACTGACACTTAGGCTTTTATTTCTCAGGGGCACAGTCTGAATCTGCCCAGAGCAAGATGCTGAGTGGAATCGAGGGTTTTGTGCTGGGACTCATCTCTTTTGGTTTGGGCTTTATCATCCACCTTTGGAATATGAAAGGTAAGGTACCTTGAGAGAAAATGGGGGAAGACTGGTACTGGGACTGAGGCATTCTGTTCTAACTTTTCCCACCTGACCCCACAAAGGAAGGAAATCTGAGAGGGGATGATAGTGATTGCAGAAATTAAGGAGACTGGGAGAAGGGAGACTCCCTATCTTGGGTCAAGTTTGCTTCATCACAGAGGTGACTGGTACAGGGCTATTCTTGGATAGAGAAGAGCAGCTCTTGTGCTATCCTTACCTTTGCCAGGCAGTTATTAGTATATGACTTCCTGCTCTGAGGTTCCTTCCTTACAAAACACCCAGTCTCTGTTTACCTTCTTTCAGTGACTGGCTCAATGACTTTAGGGTGACTCTACTTTATGGCCGTTGAAGGCTTATTGTACATGCATGGAAGTGCAGGAAAGAATGGGCCAGAGCTGCTCATGCATTTCCTTTTGGCTTGTGAGATAAAGACAGACAGATGCAATCATTCCACTAACCAAGTTAATGAGTTTTTTCCCTTTCTCTTTTCATTCTTGCTGATGATAGAACGCCCTGAGGTTCCACTTACAGGTAATATTGCCACTCTTCTTGCCCAGAAATGTGACTCATATACGATAGAAACAGGAGTAGAAGGGGTTTGTCCGGACACTTTGGCATACTTCTGTTATGTTGTCCTTGCTTCACGCTACATTCATCTCATGTGAATTGGGGCAAGAGAGAAATCTGGAACATTCATCTCATGTGAATTGGGGCAAGGGAGAAATTTAGAACATTCTGCATAGTCTCTGCAGGAAACTTCAGAGATTGTTCTCCAGACTAACCTTTGGTATCAGCCATTCAATGAGATTTGGATGATGCCTGCTGAGTCTAAAATTACAGAAAATGATGCTGAACTTGCTGGTAGCTGAGATGACAGGAAATTACAGTTCTTACCCATCCAGTTAGTCCATGACCTGTGCTTCACCACAGCATTTAGTTATGCTCTTCTGCCTCCCACATGCCCTTTCAGGCTGAAGTTTGGTGCTTACTTTAGCAGAGTATCATCTTTACTCATTGCCAGGAGAGGTAATGAAGAGTGAGTATTGATATAAGTTTAACTTTAGTGTCTTGATGCTGCAGATAGGCCCTGAGGGAGGGAAGGAGCTGATTTTTCTTCAGGGGTGGTGTGACTTATGACTCTTTCTTCTCTCTCCTCCAGGGTTCGTACACTGACCTAAACATCCTTTTTCCTGAAATCTGTCACCTCTCTTCTTTGGTCTTGTCCTGCCATTACTGTTGTTCGTGGTTCGCAGCCTCCTGTCTATCAGGCCTGTGAGCAAGTCACCTCTGCCAGCTGTCACCCATAGAGATCCTGCTCTCACAGTGACTGAAAAGCAGCTGCCATGTCTTTCTTTTCTTCTAGGCTTTCCTGCATTTCTGCCTGTAACTCTATGCTCCGTGATGCTAGAAGCACTGCTCCCTGCTGTCAATTGTGTCTGTTTGAACCATAAATATTCTCAATACACTTTTCTCATTTTGTTCTCTTTCTGAAGACTGCCCATGAATTAAATGTCAAACTCTTGTCTTTTAATAATATTTTATCAAAATTAAATATATTTGTGAATCATTTGTGTTCCTAAATCTGATTGGGTATCATGGTGATTGTGGGGAAATACTAAGCAAAGAAAAGGTCAAATTCTCAAGTTCAGTTATGCCTCAAAGAAGGTAATATTCAGGCAAGGAGACTAGAAAATTATGGGTCTCCATACTTGGTCTAATTCTGGTGCCACATGAGAATGTGAAATGAGGTAGGAAATAAATTCAGGTTTCCATCATCTATGGGGCCTTGAAGCTGGGATTGTGTGCAACAATCTTTTCTGGCTCCCACTTCGGTCTGATGAGTTTTATGTATTTGTGTGAGTGGAATAATTTTGTACCAGTCATGGTAACTTATGTCTAATGTAATGTGCTGAACTGACAACACAAATATCTTCTGTTAAGTGCACTGTGTACATCGGGGCAAAGACAATAATTGTTAATAGAATCCAACTTACCTGAATGTAATTAGCACTGGAGATTTTCTTAGAAAGTGCTTTTTGGTTATATATGATGAAAACCCTACTAATACCAGCTTAAAAGAAAAAATTAATTTTTGAATTCATATAATTGGAAAGCACTTATGCAAATTTGGCTTCAGAAAAATGCCTAGATCCCAGGGCTCAAATAAAATCTTTTTAAAAAATTTGTTTATTTTAATTAGTTTCAAAAACACATTCATCAGCTACTAATTTTTACTTCTCTAACCCTTCACCCCATTCTCTCAGCACTTCCAACCTCTCTCCCCTATGTCTGTCACCAAATTGTCCACTATATTTGTGAGTCTGTTTTTGATTAGTTTGTTCTGTTTATTCTTTAGATTCCACATATAAGTGGAATCATATAGTGTTTACTTTCTCTGTCTGACTTAAATACTTTCTAGGTCCATCAAAGCAATATCTTTTTTCATCC